TTCGTCCCATCATTTGAGATCATAAAAAAAATTTCGTTCCTTAGTTATTTGTTACCTTTTTAAGCTGATGGCTCCATAGCCAATGGTCAATAAATAATCTGGATTCGCTCTGGACCTTTTGGAGGGAAAAGTGTCGTTTTTATTTTGACTTTCAATTATTTTGTGAAATCTAGTTTAAAGTGGAATAGGATAGTGCTATTGTGCCTTAATCGAAGATTAAAACGCGAAATTATACGAATCTCGAACTAAAATACCCGTATCGGCCCGTTTTAAGGAATCCCGAGTCAATCCAAGCACGCGGCCTCAAATTGCCTATCCTCTTTGTGGCGGCCATATTTACAGAAAAACTTATTTTTTAGCCCTTACATTCTGCTAAGCGGAAAACTCGACACTGGCGAAATCTTAAAAAGTAGGAACCGCCATTGAGCAAAACGAAGAATAAATAATCTTATTTCTATTATTTATATTTTTGTTTTGCGCTTGGTGTTAAGCGACACGCCTGTCCATAGCAATTTTACAGTTTTACATCGCAAAGATCTGAGAAACACTCCCACTGCGCCCGTCACCCTGAGACATAAATTGACAAGTCCCATGTGCCTGTAATTTCACCAGTGCCCTTACCCTTTCAAAACCGGAACGTAGTAATGCTGACATTACCGCATGGCGGCAAAAATAGTTACGGTACTACCGTGGACAAGGTCAAACATCTTTCACAAGGAACTTCTATTGCGACTAAACTATTTATACGATTTTATCTTTTAATTGTCGATATGGAAACTGAAACAATGTGACTGTGACAATGAATACCAGTAATTTAAAACAAAATGTTAATATATAACTTTTTTACTTAAAAATAAAACCGACCAAGTTGGTGGAATTACATCTATTTGCCAAGTTTTATTGAAACTAGTTACCGGAAAGTGTGCGAAACCGGATTCATCCCCTACTTTGCCACTCTAAGGGTCGTATTCTAGAACTCTACTCAATGCTCAAGTCAGGATTGCACTGGAAACACAAGCACTGGGATTACGACCCTAATGGCAGGGACTTGAGTATGATTTCGAGTGCTTTAAACCATACTCAAATCCTGACTTGAGCATTGAGTAGAGTACTAGAATACGAGCCTTAGAGGTCGAATATTTTATTCAAATTTAAATGGGACCAATGCTGAAGTACCCTCTTTCGTACAAAAAAAGAATCATCAACATCGGTTCACAAATGCCGTAGTTATGGCGTAACATACATAGAAAAAAAAACATACACTCGAATTGTTAATCTTTACTTTTCCACCACCGTTATAAATCGTTTTATAACAATCTGTATAACGCGATCTGTACAAGTTTTAAAACTACAATCATGACGCAACAGTTTCGATTCGAAAGCTGCGGAATTTTTTGGTCGTCTCCTCTCAGGGCCATGCCTTTTTTGCTTGTTTATTCAGTTATCGTAGCTAGAGGTGTTTTTTTGCGCTAATGGAAAATTTTGCAAATTTATTGCATATCGCTTCACCTGGTGTTCAAGTCTGCTAATTTTAAATCATTCTCAGTTGTGTGTCTTTAGTAAATTATTGCAGTGAGAGATTGCTAAACGAGTATGAGTTACAAGGACGAAGGCCAGCGAAGCCTTGTATTAATAAGAGTCAAGCAATCCCTGTTCCCGCCGAGGCATGTATAGAATTTTTCTCAAACAATGTGAGGAAACAATAAAAGACCAAAGAGAGGCAGATGTTTAATAGAAAAAATAGAAAAATAAATTAAAAGTGATATTTGACGTGTTACGACTATTGGTAAAAGAAAACGTTATTGTTCCAAGCACGTTAATAGTAGTCTGCTAGACTTGTTGTATAAGTTTTTCTTTTGGCTGTTTATATGTATAAGTTTTTCTTTTGGCTGTTTATATCGTTCATTAATAGTAGGTAGATTTAAAAGTTTAGGAAAGAGGACAATAATGGATTTTCACACTTACTTTGCAGGCCTTGGCCGAGAAGAAGTCGCATGGTCCGTAAATGTCAAACTTTCTGTGTACATTTTTTTAAAGGAATGCAAATATTTCCGAGCATGTTTGAGAAAATATATATTCCATTCAAAGACTAAATTGCTGATAGAAGAGATAAAAATTAAGATAACAACAACATCGATCAGTAAGGCAACATCGATCTATAGTAATTGTTGAATGAATGTCATCACTGCCATTCCACTGACACTTTATAGACTCTCATCTGCCATTGTAACTAGATTTTAGCTGATTTTTAACAGGACATTGGCGAAATCGCCATTTTTTTTGTATAATTTTTATAATAATACTGAACTACCCATTGACTTACAATTATATGGACGTCGGGTCCGCGCTAAAAAGTGTCCGCACTTGTAAGGCGCTAAAATCGTATACAGAGCGCCAAACTCCGCTTTAGTCTTCATTTGTTCTACTGACAGCGCGATACTGCGATGACATTACAATTTAAATTTCGAATAGGTTGACTTGGGACATTTTTTTCGTGGTTTTTGTATTAGACCCGTCGTCCATTTATTTGTAAGTCAATGGAACTACCGTACATAGTTATTTTTACTTGACATTGGCAAAATCATCGATTATTTCGATGGGGCCCTAACATTTAAAAGAAGAAGAAATTAACAAATATTGGCGTAACTGCATTATAATATCAATTAAGTCTTAATGGAATTATAATGAACAGTGATTTTACGAAAATTAGCAGAATTGGGCCCTAGGGCCCTATGCTATTTATAATTTTATCATCTCAGTTATGTGCGATAGAGTGTAAATGGCTGGACTTTGTACATTTGGTATTCTGCCAAAAGTTAAGTGTAGAAGCTTCTCAGTGGGTAGCCATTGACTTACCATTCAACTGCCGTTGCAATTTTTTGGTAGTCTTCAATAGCGAGGCGGTGGTACGTAGATGCTGTAGTGTATTAACACAGACCACATAAATACTGTATTAATATTATATATATATATATATACAGATTTTTCTCCCATCACCATCGGGAATCGAACCCGAGACCTCTTGTTTTAACAGCCTCTGTGGCCGAACGGTTACCATATCAGACTGCCACGCAGAGGTTCTAGGTTCGATTCCCGGGCCGGGAGAAATATTTGTATGGCCTACATTTATTTCTCTCGTGAGTTGGGTGTAAATTGTGGCTGTCTATGTGTGTGTCCATGGCACCCGCGACACAAGGTTTTCCTAGTGCGGGGCTATCTTGAGTGTGTGCTTTATTATTAAAAAAAAAGGCAGTCCAGCCGTGACCGTAAGGATGGCTGGTCGCCTGTGGCGTCTGGCACCGAGTGAATATTCAAGAGTTGCTACCTATTTGCTACTACATATTTCTAAATAATTGCTACCTTTGATGTATTTTGAGAAATTTAAAAAAATAATTGACCAGCCATTCTGATATCAGGATGGCTGGTCGCCACTTTGTTCAACATGAAGGGAGCAGATTTTCCAGAAGTATGTGTTATCAATAATTGCTATATGTAACTGCCTCTGTGGTCGAACGGTTACCATGCCGGACTGCCACGCAGAGGTCTCAGGTTCGATTCCCGGGTCGGGAGAAATATTTGTATGACCTAAATTTATATCTCTCGTGAGTTTGGGTGTAATTTGTGGTTGTCTGTGTGTGTCCATGGCACCCGCGACACAGGGTTTCCCTAGTGCAGAGCTGTGTTGAGTGTGTGCGTTGTTATTAATTAATTTCCTATTTTAAGGTATACGCTTCCTATCTACATTAACTAAAAAAATATAAACCGGCATTTCATTGGAATAAGCTTATTCCAGCGTAGACAGTAAAGCACCCTTATAAATTTTGAACGGCAGCCCAACTAAATCTAGTTTTTTGCGACAAAGAACCTACTAAATAGCTACTTTTCATCGGGCTAGGCAAATTTCAAAAACTCGTCCTTGGTCCTGTTGGAATAAGGCACACCTTAATTTTACTGTCCCGCGCCAGTATTTTACGGGACAGTCTCGAAATCAGGACATCATCGGATTAGGATTTTTTAAAATGTTTTATTTAATAAATTAGGTAAATTGTGCACCCACATTCCTTATTATATTTATACATGTGAGGAGTCGTAATTGGCTCTCATTTGTTACTATTATTATTTAATTTAGTTTTAAGCTGTTGATCTTCCTTTTAAATAAATAAATAGGGACAGCATCAGATTACGGGACAGTACCGGATACGGAGCAGCAGCCACGCCCCAGCACGCAATCTGTAGTTTAGGCCGTTTTCCCACTATGGATGACCTAGGGTCATACATTCTTAATTCTAGCCCCGCAGGCTTATTACCGATCTTTAGCGACCAGTCGTTTTAGCAATAGTTGCACGATTATCGCTGTCAAAACATAAATTCGTATTACGGAACGAACAATTGCGACCAGTCGACTACAGCGCCTCCCGCGAGCAACTAATAAACTAAAACTGCATGAAAATGCTTTGACAGAAAGCGACCGGTTGCTTTTTCGTATTACCGAACCGTAATACCAACTTAGCAATCGCAACTGGTAGCAATCGCGTTGCTATTGTACAATTAACAACCGGTTGCTAAAGTTCGGTAATAAGCCTGCCGATCGAAACTCAAGTCTGTAGATCATCTATAGTGAGAAAACGGCCGTAACATGCATTTCGTGCTTGTGTTTCGAGAGTAGTGCCCCAGCAACGGATACAAAACCTTACCGGATACGGGATAGTATTGGATGCGGGACAGACCCGGATAGGGGACAGGGTCAGTAGTCTTTATTATCTACATAAAAAAGGCATAAGAGTAAAAGTTCTTTATTTGGACTTTAGGTTTTTTATATATATATATATATAGTAGTTTTAAAAATGTTACGCAACGCTTGTGTGTGCACATGGAACCATGTCTAAATAATTATAAATATATCAGTTCCATATCCAATTTACTAGTTCATACAAATGTATAATTAAATTTAATTGTGACATAGTTCCAAATGCAATTTGTTTTTTTACAAGGGCAATCTACACCCTAATCCATTTTAGTGTGTTGTGTTTTACTTAAAAGATGGATTTTTGTGCAAATAATTATTACAGTGGAACGTTTACGGGTCATTACAGTTGCATATATACATATTGACTGCAACTAACATCAACAGTAAACCAAAACATCCTGACCCTATTCGTAGAAGACCCGTGCCTTGCATCGGGACGTCCGTTTAATGTTAAAATTTTACTACTAGAACTACAATTGCACAGTCGCATTGAGTGAAACACAACAGACTGCGACGGGGTGGACAGAAATTACGGACGCGTTTAGTAATCGTCGACGTCGTACAGGTTGTCAATCTCCTCATCGTCCAGCTGCATTGATTGGAAGTCCACTTTGTAGCGCAAGAGTCCTGCGGAAAAAAAACAGGTTATTGCACTATGTAACGAAAATTTCAAAAAGGATCAGTTCTTTTGTTTGACAGTACTGGACCCCAAAGTCTGTCATCTGAGTTGCATGTCGATAGAGTCAATGGCAGGATTTTGAACGTTTGGTATTCTATTAAAAGTTAATACTTGCTTGTCAAAAACTAGCCCACAGAACAATAAATACAGTAGGAGTAGTTAGCGTCTGACGCGTACCAACTACAGGACTCCAAAGACCTATCTGAACTCAGTCCGCCATTTTCGTTTTGTATGGTATGGTTGTGTCATTCTTTCGTGCAAATTCTCCAAAATCCTAGAAAAATGCCTTATTGTGCTGTTTTGGAGTGCAAAAATTAGAGCCGCACCAAAAATAATACTTATTATAATAAGCTTATTACACCCCTGCAATATGGTCGCTTCTTTTTGGAGAACTAAATTAATATCTCCAAATCGTGGTCGTTCAGCAATTGACCGCTAGATGGTAGTACATTGATTGAAATTTCAATATAATATCAAAACATCGCAACTTGCAATAATATGTATTAGTAGTACAATAATGGTATTGAAGTTTCAACGATATGCCAACAGGGTACATTTTAAATAATATTAACTATCCAGAATTTGTTATTTCTTTTTAAATTAAAAACTACGACCAATCAATATCAAGATTTTGTTTGCAGTGTTTCAAATAAAGAATGTGAGAGTTTTGGCGACATCGGTTCTCATAGTAATCAAGGCTTATGCCACTTCCATTGTTGTTCGTCTTCCGTGGGCTAGCAGTAGCCTTTTTTTTATAATATCTAGTCACGAGACAAACAAGTCGTGCGCGTAATGGTAACTAGACGCCTATCCATAACAGTTGCAGTACCACTCAGAATCGCAAAGATCTGAGGGGCACTGCCACTGCACTCTTCACCCTGAGACATAAGTTGACAAGTCCCACGTGCCTGTAATTTTACCAGCTTCCTTACCCTATAAAACCGGAACACAGTAATGCTGACATTACTGATTGGCGGCAGAAATAGGTAAGGTGGCAGTGCTACCATGGACGAACTCTTTCACAAGGAGCTACACTACTGTCGTGCTACTATTCAACTGCCATTGCAATGTTTTGGTATTCCGCTCTATAATGGTGAGTCTATGGCACTTCAATGGTGTAGTCTAGTAAAATTATATATATGTGGGATTGCTAGATCTCAATGCAAGCATTATTATAATTTAGGCAATTAGCGAACGTATCTAAACGCGGGAGTGAGAGGGAAGAATTATACAAGAGAGAGAGAAACGATTTTTTTTATTTTTTTTTACAGAAGAGAAGACGAGCGTGTGGGTCTTCTGTTTGATGCACGACGGAATAGGAAGCAGCAAGAATAAATAAATTTCACCTATTTATCCCTTTTTTTTTTGACTATCCCACATTATAATATGTAATTTGAAGACTAAATTGCCGATTTTAATAATAAAAGTTAAGATGTCCATAGTAATATCCATAGTAGACGTAGTGAGGCTAACTCTGTCGTTGGTGATTGAATGAATGAATGCCATTCCACTGACACTCTATATTGAGACTCAACTGCCATTGCAATTTTGTTAGTTGTTAGTTATTGCGACGTTGTTAGTTTTGCGTTCATACACCAAATTCGTTCAAGTGATATTAAAAGCTCTAATGGCTGACAAATATTATCATAACTGCAATATAAACAATTAGCACAGACTTGGGACCCCTGATAATTTTCTTTAAACCATTGGCCAATGTAATTCCATTGCAATTACGATGATATTTGCTATTCTGCTAAAATCTAGCTGCAATGGCAGTCGAGTCTCAATAAAAAGTCGATGGAATGGCAGTGATGTCATTCATTCATTCAATCACTAACGATCAACGTTGCCTTACTAAAACTACTATGAAAATGAAATAGCATTTGTGCACTACGCCTTCGATATGCCAACCACACGCCATTGAAGAGCAGTATACCAAAAAATTGCAATGGCAGTTGAATAGTATTTGGATGGCTAGCCACTGGCACGTGATTACTTTTAACTTTTAGCAGAACACCAAACGTACAAAATCCAGCCATTTACACTCAACTGAGATGATTTACAATTAAGTCTGTTTGATCGATCAGCACGTATATAGAAAATAGTGGCTACAACTCTGAAACTTTGCTTTTGTAGCTGCAAGATTGGTATTTACATAGCTACATAGTGGTATTGACGTGGTCTCGCAAATCGACACATTTCTAGATGCTTTGTCATCAATTTGTAGAATTACGGTTGAAGTACACTATAGATTTGGAATATAATGTCCTATTTTTGTCTCTAAATAAAGGGAAACAAGAAATTTTGTACAGTAAATATAAATCGACGATGGAAAGCTAAAACGTCTAACGTTTGGATAATATTACAGGAGACCTGTTTAAAGTAACTTTATATTAGAAATTAAAACTAATTTTATTCCTTACAAGCGTCGAACAGTCCATACTATAGGGAAGTGCCAGAAATAAAATTCCAGCTCCTTGTTACTTCTAGCCCTATAATATAAGGGTAATTTTCAGGTTAGTTTTCTCTACCAAATTTCGGTGGCAATTCGTATTATTCGGGTATTCGAGTAAATTATTATGAAATATTAAATATTTCAGGTTACTACATTAGGATATTAAATAATACTTCTTGATAATCATCGAGTATATAACCAGAAATAAGAGACGAAATGTCATTTAATTTGTTTGAAAGCTATTCTGCTATATAATTAACGTGACAACTGCGCTCCGATTGGCCAGCCCGAATGCGAAACAACTGACGAGTGTCGTCAATGGTTTCACTTCAAATCGACCAGTTAACTTGAGCTTTGCTATAATTTTGATTCCGTTTGTTTTGTAATTAGACCTTTTGCTGTTTTTCCCCACACCACCGAATGGAACAGTACGCCATTGTTAGAGATATTAATATTTTTTACAATAACTACAGAATATTTTTGGAATATACGAAGACATATACATATACACACAGGTCAGTTGTTGGCGCTTCTATATTTCAGTGTCAACGAGAGTTGATATTTATATGTTTATTTATATAGTGATGTATCACTGATCCAGGAATGTATGGTCCTTATTTCGTCTCTATTTCTGGTTAGATACTCGATGATGATTGATAATATCATACAATATTTAAATAATATAACAACTGCCACCGAAATTAAGCAGAGAAAACTGAACATTACCCAAACCCAACATTTTTTATTTTATTTTATTCATATCTAATGTTTATTGTATTATAATATGTAAATTTTTGGTTTTTAATGTTAAATTATTTCAATTTTATTTTATTACAGTTATAAATATTGAACTGTAAACTAACATAGTACCTAAGGTATCTGTAAAACTAACAAGTGGTCCTATGTTGTCTTAAATAAAAAACTATTATATGCCCAACGTCCCGAGCGGCAGAAATACATAATGAAAATTATAGTATAAAGGTTTTTGTGACAAAAGCAAATATTAATTCAAATTTTATAATTGCCCATCGATGTTACGATGTGACGATTCTACCATGGTCAAGGTTGAAAAATTACAGTATAATACCTATATATTTATAAACCCACTCCCCTCTTTTATTTTCTTTTTATATGTGCATGTGATGTGAATGTTTAATTTGTGTTGTCCCTTTTTAGATTCTCATCGTACCCAACGGATCTACGGCAAATCAACCGTACATAGTCACACCAACGTAAAAATAATAATAAAAAACTGTCCACAAAAATGTCAGTAGAATAATTTTATGAATGACTGTATTGTAACCACTTCATGCGATAACTAAATATGACGTCAATAATTGCTATAAATTCAAATTGATCAAAATGAGAAGTGGTCATAGTAAACAAGATAAAAAAAAATCTTAAACACCACACAAACACACGTAAAAAACACATATTATTATGTATTTTAATTAAAAATGTATGGTATTAAATATGTTAGTATTACCTCATCCAATCCGTAGGCATGAAAATTGTAGAAAAAAATGTACAGAAAGTTTAAAAAGATATGTGGAAGCGATAGACATATAAGATCCTCAATAAGCCGACATACTATAAAAAAAAATTATTATATGAAAACGGAAAGAAATTTTACTATTAGACCCCCTTTCAAATAGCAAAAAAAAGATAATGCTATTTCATACTTTTAGAACCAATAGTTATTAACATTTACTATCAGCTTAGTATATGATACCAAACAATTTTACCAAGTAAAGCCCCCTTCATATATTTGGTTCGAACAGTTACTAACATTTACTACGGAACTGCTGACCATTTTTCACGATTTCAAGGCAGAGTCCACATAGTAAACATTCATACAGTAAAACGTCAATATTAAAAATATGTCGGCTAATAAAGTAGGACCATAAGTAAAAAAATTGATGATAAAAAACAAATTACTAAAACCAGCCGTTGTTGCGTCGATTCATACTTTTAAGGACCTTTTAATTACAAACTACGATCCAAAATACACAATACGGTCATATTGTAGAAAAGTTTAGGAATCGGCACAAAAATTATTTACCTTTTATAATTATCCTACGTAACTCCTTGTCAGCTCGCTAACCATCTAATTTGAAGTTCAGCCTGATATTCAGTACAAAATTACCAATTCTATAATACTTTAAAAATTTTAATGAAGAATGGATATCATTTTCATCTGAATGTCAAGTAAAATTTCGACTTAAATATTTGAAAAGGTATTTATTGGAAAAAAATATCACAAAAACCCGATGTGCAAATATCACATTCTACATGGTAATTATTGTGCCCCGCAATACGACCAAATTTTACTATGGAGGGCCTCCAAACTTTTACTAAGCTGGTCCCCCAAAGATTTACTATGGAGGTCCGCCCACTTTACTATGGCGACTCCACTTGTATAACGAAAAATACAATTGCTATTCCATCGGCTTTTTGTGACAATTTTATATAAAGGGTCATGAATAATACCAT